ATTGGGAAATGAATTTCGGGATAGTCCTCCAACATGAGAAAATTCTCTATATGATAGAGAAAGCTCTTTCGGATGAGCCTCTTTTAGTTCAAGTCGAAGCTCATGAAGCATGGATCAAACATAGAGATGATGCAATCATCGCTTAAGGCATCATGCTTGCTGCTATGACGAGTGGAGCATAAGCACTAACATAGAAGCCCACAAGCTTTTGATATCATAACAAAGCTCAAGAGCTTGTTTGAGGAGAATATTAGGCATGAGCACTATGGGTTAGCAATGAAGTTCTTTAAGGCCATAATGGATGATGGATCCAATGTCATAAAGCATGTCACTCAAATGATAGGCTATATCGATCGACTAGTCGAACTTGAAGTTGGAATAGATGTCGAATTATCTATTAACCTAGTATTGCAATCGTTGACCAATAGCTTTGGACGAGTTCATCATTAACTTCAACAAGATGCATATGCAAAAGACTCTTACAAGGTTATTGTCCATACCGAGGGAAGCTTAGCTAGAAATTAATAAGAAGAACAAAAGCCTTATACTTCTAGTTAATAAGGGAAAATGCATAGTAAAAGGTAAGAAAAAGCCTAAAAAGAAGAAGAAGTCTTCAATTGCACCAACAAGAGGAGTGAAAAAGGTCGAGGCTCAAATAGCCCAAAGGATGCATTTTTCCTTCATTTTAAAAAGAAGGGGCATTGGAAGCACAACCGCAAGCGATACGTAGAAGGAGTGCAAAAGAAGAGTTCTACCACCACCTTAATATTTATGTTATTAATGCTAATTCTTTTATTTCTAAATTCCATCTCATTAGTAGATGATACTAAATGTGATGCTTATATTTTTGAAATGTACAGGAGCTTAGAAAAAGAAGGAAGATAGCTTCAAGGAAGAATATCTATATAACAACAAAGGATCAAGAGTTGAACCATTAGATGTAGGTATTTATAAGTTAGGACTACCATATAGGGATGTGCTACTACTCAATCATTATTATATTAGTAGAGACTCAAGATCTTATTTCCATTTCTTATTTTGAATGTCTATTTCATTTTTAAGAATAATTATTATTTTTAAGGATGAATTTTTTATGAAAATATTTTGATAATGATTATATGTTTTAAACATAACTCCAAAATGTATAACATAAATACTAAAAGACTCAAATGATTTGAATAATCATTAATTATTAAGAAAACAAACTTAGTCATATATGCAAGAATCTCATATCCAATCTACTTCTACAAAAGGATATTTAGAATCATTTGATGATGTCTAAGGAATCTTGTTTACTTGACAAAAGGGACATATATCCCTTTTTAGTTAAAAATGAGAAAGAGTTACTGATCAATAAAAACTTTATATATAAAGATGTATATGGGCCTATGTTCACCTAAGCAAGAGGAGAACATGCTTTTCACATAACCGTTAATGATAGTGGATCATGTTATGGTTATAAAACACAAGTCTAAAAAATTTAAAATGTTTAAGAGTTTAGACTTAAAAATTCATGTGACAAACTAACAAGAGTTTTAAAAGATCTCAATTAGATCAAGGAGTTGAATACTTAAATGCTAAAATGTTAAATCACCTAAAAAAGTATGAGATTGTCTATGGACATTATAGGTTGACATGATTAGTTCATGATGAGTCGAATTAATATCCCTAATTATGAATGAATACTTCTTAATGCAACCTTTAAAAACAATAGAATTCTAATCTATTGATATAGATCAAATACCGAGATATGGGAAAGGAATGAAAATGAATTAATCTTCCCTTAAGATTTAAGGCTATAAAATGTATGTCAAAGGGTTTAACAAAGACAAAATAAAGCCTAAAATCAATAAAGTACTAAATTATGAGATATCCGAAAGTAAGATTAGGATGTCAATATCTTACCACTATAACAAAGTGTTGTTCCTTACTAAGCACACTATGTTCCTTAGGAAGGAATTTATGGATGTTAAAAATAATAAGAGAAAATTTAAACTCAATAAGATTTGAGTAGACTCACAAATTAACACTTTAATAATAGAATCCAAAAGTAGAATGATTATGAAGTGTTATAACTCTCTCACAATAAAAAACACATGAATTTTAAAAGTTCAAAAATAAATTCATCAAAAGGAACAAAAGAGATATGATCTTTTCATTTTAACATATTACGATGTGAGACCTAAAAGGGATGATGAAGCTAATACTTTTGAAATGATAATGTTAGACATTAATTCTTATAAAAGGAAAATAAAAGGGATGTGTAGTTGACACACCCTAATGGTTTCCAAATAACATGCAAATAAGATTTGCAAAAGGCTAAGGAATTTATGAAACGATCGGAGAGTTTGATTATTCATCAAAAACAAAGACCGATCTTGTACAAATAAGAAGCTAGTGGGAGCCTCTTAAATCAAGCTTATTCGATAAAAAATTAGACCTCGACTATAATATTATCATGTTGCAAACAAAAGATCAAGGAACCTAGAAGAAATTTCCCAATGATGACATATGGGAAAAACCTACGATCTACGAGTATAGATCTATAGAGATAGATCACTTGGAATGTGAGGAGTCTCCTAAGATAGTTATAATGACATGAGTCTAAAAGGTTTAGTATGGAACAATCAAAGAAAGTTTTGTTCTAATGTCATATAGCTTAATGACCGATAACAAAGGATCCATAGCACAAGCTAAGGAATCAAGGTCTCATCAACGATACAAGCATGTACTACAATGCTATCACTTGATTATAGAGATAAAAAGGGTCATGGTAATATAAGGATAGATAACAACCACGCTACGATAACATAGTCGATGCCAAACTAAGCCTTTATCACAATTAAAAAATCTATCCCCCACTCGATTGTTAAGATTAAGGGATATGGCTAGTTGGCTCTCGTGCAAGTGGGAGATTGTTAATGTTGGTACCCAAGATCCAATCATGATTGGATGGGCTCATGTTAATGTATTATTGCATCATTTATTTTAATAATAATAAAGTAATTATTTTATTAATTTTTATGTTCATATGTTGATAAATTCAGTAGAATTAGATAAAAGTCCTTGTGATACTCATTTGTAATAGTGATTGATCGAAAGATGTGAGATAAACACTAATGCACATAAATGATATCATTAAATGTACCAAGTCATAGCATTGTCAAGAATGGACATTGACAATATGTGGATAGATTTGTGAGTGTTATGCTCATGCTATATGATAGTAGTAGGAGATCTCACACATTTGGCATGGTGATGCCAAAGCAAGCACTTAGGTTATTAATATTGAAGAACACATATCAAGAACGAGCTCTTAGTAAGAAAGAGCTCTCGGTAGTGCACCCTAGAGTGAGAAAGTAGAGAGAGACGCTCTCCTCCAACCATGAAGATCTTTCCCTTTTGATAGGGTTTGCTACTCGTTCGAGCTACTCTTCCCTTCAAACCTCTACCATGTTACGGCCTTTTCCCCCTCGCTCCTCTCTTATATTCACCTACCCTTCGTTTCCTATCATTCTCTCCCTTTCCCTATCCCCGACCCACCAACCTTTTCTCCTATGGAAAAGAAGAAAAAGAAATCTGCTTTTAAACCTTCAAAGGCTACTATAGGGCGAGAATGCGAGGCTCCAATCATAGCCTTACAAGCTCATGTGGCCCTTGTTCCTCCTTTGAATGATCCGGTTCCCCCTCTCACCACTCGAGCCTAACCCTAGCTAGTGAAATTGGCACTTCGATAGGTCCTCCCCTCACCATTCTCGTGGCCTAGCTCCTACACATTATTATGTGAAGGTTGAGGACTGTTCGGAAGGAGCAGATTCCATTGAGATAGAAGTAGATTCTTCGCATTCGGATGGGGAGCTAGTTTCACGATCAAAATTCTTCGGGGCACCTCCTCCTACTTTAGGTTCGGGTGCATCTATAGCCTCTCCACTCGTCGATAGACACTACCGTTACTAGTATGGGTATTGCTTTAGCTCCGTTTCTTCCTCGGTCGACTAACGGGTATATTCATGATGTTCTGCCTAGACATGGGTCGAGTGCTCGCCGCCACTCCTCCTACTAGAATAGCTTGCCCTTCCTTCGGCGACGAGCCTAGCTTTCAGCCTCAAGTAACTCGAACCCCGTGCTTGGCAAATGGAGACACTTATTTGCTAATAATCGTAGTGTTGAATCATGTCCAAAGCTCATTCATTTTTCTACTATAATTGATACTAAAACTTGTATATTGCTTGATGATGACCCGAAATGTGAAGTATGGAGGTCTTGTTTGGTTTGGTATGTTGTTTGGAAATCTCTAGGATTTAGGGCCCTAAATGGGATTATTGCTAACACATGAAAATGTGAGTTTGAATTATCTATGCATGACTTAGTTTGTTGGTTTATAAATTTACCTCGAAGGAGGCCAAATTATCTATGTTACATGGTGGCCCATACATGATATTTGGTCCGCCTTTACTACCGAGACTCGTGTCGAGTTTGTCAATTTTTCCTGTGAGGAGATGTCGATGGTGCCGGTTTGGGTGAAATTTCCTAACCTCCCTCTTAAATGTTGATCGAATTTGTGCCTCTAAAAAATAGCTAGCTTGCTTGGTAAACCCATTCAGTATGATAGATTGATTGCCTCTATGGATTGGATTTCTTGTGCTAGAGTTTTGGTTAAGCTAAATATCATGCGAGAACTGCCGAGAATGGTAAACATTAGGTTTCCTAATGGTTTCAATGTTCGTCGACTGTTGTGTACGAAAGTCTACCTACTCATTGCAAGAGTTGCCAAGTTTTGGGGCACCAACAGCCTTCTTGTGGTAAGCAACCTGTTGTTGTGAATTAGGCCACTATCGGGCCTATAACTCGAGCGTAACATCCGGACCGGGCCCGGGTGAGTGTATTTCATAGGTTAAGACCTATTGCTCCCGCTATGACCCCCACTATTTTGCTGGTGGCAAATTCACTTGACCCTATGTGTTTGGGGGCGGTTGTCGCTTCTATGGAGTGCGTGATAGATGGAGGCCAAGTCGAAGCTCGGCCTCGACACCTTTACCAAACTCGGCCTCGGTAGAACACTTCTACTAAGCCTCGATAGAATTGACAAGCTCAATCTCGATAGGCTACTCCTCGTGGTTCTAGGCACAAAAACTCCAACTTACAAAAGGAAAGGAAAGGCTATTGAAATCGGTCAAACTAGTATGGGGCCGGCCCCAACTAAGGTGTCGTTATGCGGGTTATTGGAGAGGACAATTTGGGTTGTAAAGGCCGGGTAACTAGTGTTCGGGTACCGCCAATGCAGCTAGGGTGGACATGACGACCATTGTCATTAGAGTAGAGCAAGCGACCAACGTCTTTACCGAAAGCTCTCTCGTGGGTGTCCACTAGAAGTCGGAGTAGGGGCACTAAAAGGGGTGCTAAAGGGGTTCCTAGCACCTCCGTTACTCTATGTTAATTTGTAATTGGAATATAAGGGGTTTAAATAGTCCCCTAAAGCAACATGAGGTTACCGGCCTCATGATAAATAAGAAGATAGATATTTATGCTTTTTTTGAAACTAAGCTTAGCCTTTTTAAGCTCACATAAATGAACAGGTTTTGATTCAAGCAGTGAAGGTTTATCTCTAATGCGACCGTGGCCTCAAATGCCCATATTGCTCTTTTTTGGAATCTAGATACTATTTCGATTGATTTACTAGATGTTTCTACCTAAGGACTAAATGTTAAAATCGGTAGCTTGTCCACTATATGGGATTTACTACCACTTTTGTATATGGATACAATACTCTTATTCAACAAAGGGAGATATGGAATGACCTTCATCGATGGAACCCCCATAGCCCTTGGCTTGTTCTTGGGGATTTAAACTCGGTCCTCTCACGGGATAATAAGCACAATGGTGTTGCGAGTATCTAGATATGAGACCTTGAACTTTCGTATTTATTGCTTGGATCTTAGTCTTATCGATCTCAACTACATGGGTAGTCACTTTACATGGACTAATGGGAGTGTTTGGACAAAGATAGATAGGGTTTTAGTCAACCCCCATTGGTCTACGCTTCGAGTACTTCGTTTTTGTTCATTTCATCATGTCGGGAGCTTTTTCGAGCCATGCTCAAGCCTCGATGCAGTTGGACAACCAGACCTCATCTAGGTCAAAAATGCTTCAAATTTTTCAATATGTGGGTAAATCATGAATGCTTTCTTTAGACGGTCTTACAACATTGGCATTATGACTCGGAGGAAGTCCTATGTATGTCTTGTGTCGAAAGTTGAAGCTCCTAAAAGAGCCTTTAAAAAATCTAAATAGACTTCATTTCGACCACATCTCAAAGAGGGTTGCCCGAGCAGATGGAGGAACTTGACCATTACCAAGCAAGCCCTTCATAATGACGGGGATAACACCCTTCTTCTCAAGCACGAGAGGCTTCGAAATTAAATTTGGTTAATCTTCGGTCGACGAGAGAAGATGTACTTCGCATAAAAACTCAAATGCAAGTTTCTTAAGGATAGTGATAGAGGCGATCGGTTCTTCCACACTCTCATGAGCCAAAGCCACAAGAGGAATTTTATTGCGGCCATACATGGCAATGATGGGTAGTATACCACCTCTCTTCAAGCCATAGGGGGTATTTTTATTGACTACTATAAGAATCGGCTTGGTTCATCTAAGTCACTCTTCTTCGATGTAGCGGTTATTGCTAGTGGGCCTTGTCTTGATGCTAGTGCTTCGAGTTGCTGCTAGCCCCTATTATCAATGAGCACATCAAGGTGACTCTGTTTGGGATTGGTAATGATAAAGCCCCGGGGCCGGATCGGTATTCCTCTTTGTTTTTCAAGCAAGCTTAGGATATTATGTGGACTGATTTTTGTGCTACGGTGAAGGACTTCTTCACCTCTAGAAGCCTCCTTAAATAGGTCAATCATTCTATCATTGCCTTGATTCCCAAGTTAGCTAATGCTTCCTCTCCATCTTATTTCGTACCGATATCTTGCTATAACGTTGTGTATAAAGTCATCTCTAATCTTCTCCGTTTCGGAATAGCCCGAGCTTTGCTTGATCTTATAAGCCCCATACGAATGCTTTCTTGGAAGGGAAGAAGATGTTGGATAATATTCACCTGCTTTAGGAGCTTCTTCAATAGTATGGTCGAAAGCGAGCTTCGCCACAAAGTCTTTTTAAGATTGACTTAAAGAAAGCATTCGATTCGGTGCGATGGCCCTTCTGAGATATCTACTTCGTAGCTTGGCTTCCCGCCTACCATTGTTCATCCGGTCATGCCTTATGTGGAATCTTCCTCTAACTCTATTGTTGTGAATGGCAATCTGTTTGGTTTCTTTCCAGGAAAAAGTGGTATCCGATAGGGTGATACCCTTTCCCCTATCTCTTCATATCCCGCATGGAATATTTTTCTCGTATGTTTGCGATATCATTTGCTAGACTCGATTTCAAGTTTCATCCACAATGTGGGGTTCGGTAGTTTAGTCACATTGCTTTTGCCGATGATGTTATGCTTCTTTGCCGAGGAGATAAAGCATCGGTGTAGTGCTTGACTCAACAGTCGAGTATTTTCGATCGAACTTCTAGGCTTGCTATGAATAGCGACTGAAGCAAGTTCTCCTACAAGATACTCGGGTTCATCGAGGGTACTTTTCCTTTTAGATATCTAGGGGTTCCTCTAAGTCCTCACGAGCTTTTGGCCGATCAATTCTCTCATTTGTCGTAAAGTTTGGAATCGACTCGTACAATCTTGGATGGGAAAGCATCTCTCATATGCTCTGGATGGCTATAGTTATTAGGATTGGTCTTGGTCGGTGTAATTCAATTTTGGTTGGCCATCTTTCCTATCTCGGCTCATCGTCCTCTCTAGTATCACACGTATATGTAGGAATTTCCTTTGGAATGGGGATGTGAGTAAAAGCCACTCGGCTTTAGTTGCCTAGAAGCGGCTTTACCGCCCTAAGGAGGAAGAGGGTCTAGGCTTATGGGATTTAAAAACCCTAAATTCTTGTTTCCTTGTCAAACAACTTTGGGACATCCATCTTAAAGCCGATTCAATTTGGATTCAATGGGTACACCACTTCTACTTGAAAGATCAAATGGTGTGGGATATTCAAGCTCCCAAGACTACTTCATCCTTATGGAAAACAATTGTATCTACACGCGACTAGTTTGTTAGGAAATTCAAGGATTGAACTCGGGTGGTTGAGAGGTCGTGAAATTGGAGCCAAGGCCAATTTTCTTGTAATGCTTACGATAATGTTAAGCCTAAGGGTTCGTTGTTCAACTAAACCTAGGGAGTCCGGGAATAATGGGCTCTACCGAGGTATGTATTTATGTTATGGCTAGTGGTTAAAGGTAAGTCGAAAGCTATTAACTACCTTCGCTTTGTCTTGGATGATCCTAAGTGTGCTCTTTATAAGCTTGCTATAGAATCGCATACCCATCTCTTCTTTGAGTGTCCTTAGATGGCCGGTTTATGGGCTAAGGTTTGACATTGATTGTCAATTTTGCGGAACCATGTCTACACTAGTAAGTGCCATTAAGGACCTCTCCATTTGAAGGAATAACTTGGAAGATAGGATGCACGAGTCTCTCTAGGAATCACGAGTATACCTAATTTGGGAAGAAAGGAACTAGAGAATTTTTTATGGTACTCCATCCGCCGAGGACTCTATCTTTAAGAAGTTTCAAATTCTATTCTATATGATATTTCACTTTCATGAGAAGGATCATACCATCTTGAATGTTGGCTAATGGGTTCTTACTCTGCTGGACTCTCCCGGGTGTGTTTCGGGGTTACCGTTGTTGCTAATATTTTTGTTTATGGTTTGCGAGTGCTAACCTCCCTTAGGTTCTAGGTCGCATCTAGTCTAATGGCTACCGAGGCTCGGCTTGCTCCGGTTGCTTGGCTAACCTCTTATTTTTAAAAAGCTTTTGTTCGTCTTGCTTTTGCTTTTTAGCTTTGGTCGTTTTTATTGCTGCTCGTTCCTACCGGCACTTTCTTCTTGGCTATGGTCGGTAGTGGTCTACCGGTGCTAAACTCCTTTGGGTTTTGGGATGCATATGGTCTATTTGTCGTGATTACTCCGGCTTGTTGGGCTTGCCTCTCGGACCTCTAGCTTTGTGTAGTTTCTATTACTCGTCGTTCTCGTTCGTCGTTATTCCCGTCGGCACTTGCTTCTTGGCTCTAGCTAGTAGTAGTCTCGTCGGTGCTAACCTCCTTTCGGTTTTAGGATATGTATGGCTTGTTTATCGCGATTGTTCCGGCTTGTTGAGCTCGCCTACCGGACCTCTACTTTGTGTAGCTTCGCTTGCTATTGTTCCTGTCGGCTCTTGCTTCTTAGCATTGGTCGATAGATGCTTTTATAGTTATTGATCATTATTTACGGTCTCTCCTCGGCTATATTCTTGCTTGCTATAGAGGTCTTATACATGGTTCTACCTAGCTAGTCCAATTTTTTTCGATTGGTTTTTCTTGTAATCTCTAATGCAATTTTCCTTGAACAACCTTTTATGTCTAACTTCTTTTGCTTTTGGTTTTTTGGGAGCATGTTCCCAATTTCTTGTATAGCCTCGTAAATGTTACTCTCCATGGTCCCCCGACTATATTCCATTTTTATTTATATACTTACATTTAGATCAAAAAATATTAGAGAACACATCACTGGACTTAGCCCGTCATGAGAACCCATTTAGTTTTAGTCAATGGGAATCTCATATGAGATGGGTACAAATGGTCCTTAGACTTGAAGTCGTCATGGTTATCTCATTGGATGACTTATGCACTTTGACACTCGTTGCGATGGACCTATTAATGGGTTACATATGGGTGATTCGTTGGGTGCACTAGGAATCCAATGGAGATAAGTGTTTGACTATAATAAGACATGTTATTTCTTGTATGCTAAAGGCGTTAACACATTGTACTTCGATAAATGTCCGCTCAAGTGATCTATGGCCATAGTAGGACTGCACCAATAGAGCATAATTTATCTACATTAAAAGCTAAGACATTTACGAATCGAAAAAAAACTTGTGTAATCATAATCAAACAAGACTAATAACTAAGTTCGTGAAGGATCATGCATCCTATAGAGGTGTGAAATAAATAAATACTTTCCTCCATCTAAGGCTCCAAGATTAACCCAATGAATCTAATAACTATACATATATGAATAATAAGCTATAAGTAAAGGATTACATCTTGTAGTGGATATCTTAATTTTTTTTCAACAAAGCCATCCAAGTATTCGGCCTCTATTGATGATCCACGCAGTCCAAGTATCCATAAAGAAGCACTTAAAATTAATGGGGTGCTAGCTCCATCTTTTTGATTTAGTATTTCCTATAGAAATCAATCCCGAACTATTTTGTAACAACCTTAAAAAGAGAGGGATAGAGTGTTTCTTGCTAGGGTTTAAGAGAAACCTATTTTCTTCTAATTTTTTTACACTTAGCCCTATGCCCTAATTTTTTTTTTTGGGCTAGGTAAACTTTCTCTCTCCTTTTTTTTATGTTGGTCAAAATCTCCTCTCTTGTATTAGGCCTTTATGCCGCACATAACCTCCTATATATAGGGGGAGAGTCTCCTTTTCCATTAAGGATAAGGAGAGGGGTGGCTATGAGTCCATAAAGGACTCTAGGTTATTGCTTCCTTATCCTCCAAGGATGAGGAGTTATTTTATATGTGGACTATATGATTATTATCTTTAAAACATTCAACCTTATCCAATAAGGTTAATGTTTATCTTTAAAACATTCAACCTTATCCGATAAGGTTGATATTTATCCTTCCATCAAAATTATCTCAAAGCTCATAATTAAATCTAATGGTACAAAACTATTTTAGCCCAATTAATTTATTTACACTATCCAAATAAATATTCCTATATTATTTTGGCAGGATCCATATTAGGAAATAATTTTTAAAATATCCTTTAACCTAAATTAGAAAACTCATTTCCTTTTAGGTTATTTATTTTCAAATTTGAAACTAACTTTTAAATTAGGAAATCGATTTTGAAAATAGGAAAATTTCCATTTTGGAAACTCTTTCCAAAATAGGAAAATTTTTATAATTTGAAATGTTTTTCAATATCTTTACTTCTCATTTATAATGTGAATACTTAAACTTATACGTGTGACTCAATAGGCTCCTAAATATGTTCTCAATGTATTAAGCATAAAAGACTCCTCTTTTATCTCTTGATACATAATCAAGATTGGCCTCTAGCAAGACACCATGACTACTCAATTCTCTAGAAGAATTAGTTAATCCATTATTACCTTTCATAAGCATAGTTACCATATAATTCTGTCCTCATGTCAACTTATTATAGTGTGATCTAGAACTTGATTAGTAGTCTTATTTGATGATGATCACATAAGTTTTCTTCGATTCCTAAATGTCTAAGTCTGCTAGAGTAGACCAACTATGCTCTATTGGTGTACTCCTATTATAGTTATAGATTTCTTAAACGGACATTTGTTGAAGTGTAATGTGATAACTCTTTGAGCATTCAAGGAATCACATATCCTATATTAGTCATATACCTATCTCCATTGGATTCCTAGTGCACCTAATGAATCGCTAACGTGCAATCCATTAATGGGTCCATCAAAACAAGTGTCAAAGTGCATAAGTCCACTAATGAGCTAACCATGATGACTTCAAGTCCAAGGACCATTGGTACTCATCTCGTATGAGATTTCCATAGACTAAAACAAAATGGGTTCTCGGGGAAAGTAAAGTCAAGTGATATGTTCTCTAACATAAATCACCTAAGTGCTTACTTTGGCATCATTATGCCAATAGGTGTGAGATCTTCTACTGCTATCATATAGCATGAGCATAGTACTCATAAGTCTAATTGTATATTGTCAATGTCCATTCTTGATAAGGTTACGACATTGGATATTTAATTATATCATTTATAATGGGTTCATCTCACATCTTTCGATCAATCACTATTGCAAATGCATATCATAAGGACTTCTATCTAATTCTATTGAATTTATCAACATGTAAAAATAAGAATTAACACAATGACTCCTTTATTATTATCAAAATAAATAATGCTATGATATTTTAACTCAAGCCCATCAAAACATGGTTGTATCTTGGGCACTAAAACTAATAATCTCCCACTTGTACTAGAGTCAACCTGACCACGTCCCTTAATCTCAATAATTGACTAAGGGATAGATTTTTTAGCTATGATAAAGACTTAGTATGGGGTCAACTATGTTATTGTAGTGTGGTTATTTTCTATCCTTATGTTATCACGACCCTTTTTATCTCCATAATTGAGTGATAGCATTATAGTACATGCTTAGACCATTGATGAGACCTTGGCTCCTTAGTTTATGTTATGGATCCTTTATTATCGATCATTAAGCTATATAACATTGGAACAAAACTTTCATTGATTGTTCCATACTAAGCCTTTTATTATTATGTCATCGTAACTATCTTGGGAGACTCCTCGCATTTCAAGTGATCTATCTCTATAGATCTATACTTTTAGATTATAGGTTACTCCCACATGTTATTTTTAGGAAATTTCTTCTAGATTGCTTAATTTTTTGTTGGCAACATGATAATATTATAGTTTAGGTGTAATTTTATGTCAAATAACTATGATTTAGTAGGCTCTCACTAGTTTTTTATTTACATAAGATATGTCCTTATTTTTTTTATGAATAATCAAACTCTTTGATCATTTCATAAAATGTGGAATTATATTCATAAAGGTTTGCTTAAGTCTATTAATGGACCTTAGCCTTTTGCAAATCTTATTTGCATGTTCTTGGAAACCATTAGGGTGTGTCAACTACACATCCTTTTTATTTTTCTTATATAGGAATCAATGTCTAACATTCCCATTTCGAAACTATTAGCTTCATCATCCCTTTTAGGGCTCACATCATAATGTGTTAAGATGAAAATATCATATCCCTTTTCTCTTTTTGACGAATTTGTTTTTGTACTTTTGAAATTCTTGTGCTTTTGTTTGTGAGAGAGTTACAATACTTTTTAATCATTCTACTTTAGGATTCCTTTATTAAAGTGTTAATTTGTGAGTCTAATCAAATCTTATTAAATTTAAATTTCTTCTCATTATTTTTAGCATCCATAAATTCTTTTCTAAGGAACATAGTGTGCTTTGTAAGGAACAACACTTTATTTTAGTGGTAAGATATTAACATCCAAATCTTACTCTATGATATCTCACAATTTAGCACTTTATTGATTTTAGGCTGTATTTTATCTTTGTCAACCCCTTTGACATTTATAGCCTTAAATCTTAAGGGAAGATTAATTCATTTTCTTTCCCTTCTCATATCTCATATGTTATCCATTTCAATGATTAGAATCCTATTAATTTCAAAGGTTGCGGTAAGGAATATTTATTCATGATTAGGGATATTAATTTGACTCTTCATGGATTGTTCATGTCTAACATCCGATGTCCATAGAGAATCTCATTCATTTTTAGGTGATCTAACATTTTAGCATTTAAGTATTCAGCTTCTAGATCTAATCGAAATACTATAAAACTTTTGTCATTTTGTCACATGACTTTTCAAGTCTAAACTTTTAAACATTTTAAATGTTTTGGACTTGTGTGTTATAATATGATCCACTATTATTAGTGGTTATGTGACAAGCATGTTCTCCTCTTGCTTGGGTGAACATAAGCCCATATTCATCTCTATGTATAAGGACTATATTGATTAGTAACTCTTTCTCCTTTTCAATTAAAAGGTGATACATGTCCTTTTGTTAAGTAACCAAGATTCATTAGACATCATCAAATGATTCTAAATATCCTTTTATATAAGTAGGTTGGATATGGGATTCTTGCCTATACGACTAAGTTTGTTTTCTTATTAATTAAGGAATATTTAGATCATTTGACTTTTTTAGTATTTATGTTATACATTGGGAAGTTATGTTTAAAAACATATAATCATTATCAAAATATTTTCATAAAAATTTATCCTTAAAAATAACTATTATTCGTAAAAATGAAATACTTATTCAAAGAAAGAAATGAAAATAAGATCTTTAGTCTCTACTAAAATAATAATGATTGAGTCACAGCACATCCCAACATGGTAATGCTAGTTCATAAATACCTACATCTAATAGTTCAACTCTTTGATCCATTGTGGTTATGTAAATATTCTCTATTGAACCTATTTCCTTCCTTTTCTAAGCTCTTATACATTTCAAAAATATAAGCACCACATTTAGTATCATATACTCACAAGGTGGAAATTAGAAATAAAAGGATTAGTATTAATAGCATAAATACCCGAGGTGGTGGCAGAACTCTTCTTTTACACCCCTTCTAAGTACTCATTGCAGTTGCACTTCCAATGCCCTTTCATATTGCAATGAAAGCAAGTTGCATTCGTTAGGCTATTCTAAGCCTCAACCTTTTCCACTCCTCTAATAGGTGCATTTGAAGACTTTTTCTTCTTTTTGGGCTTTTTCTTGCCCTTTACTATGCCTTTTCCCTTATTAAATAGAAGTATAGAACTTTTATTCTTCTTGTTAATTTTAGGCTGAGCTTCCCTTAACATGGACAATAACTCTTTAAGCGTTTTTGCATGTGCATCATGTTGAAGTTCATGATGAACTGTCAAAAGGTATTGGACAATGATTGTAATACTAGGTCAATGGATAACTCGGCATCCATTCCAACTTCAAGTTCGGCCGGTCGATTGATATAGCCTATCATTTTAGTGACAAGCTCTTTGACATTAGATGCCTCATCCATTGTGGCCCTAAAAAGCTTCCTTGCTATCTCATAGCACTCATGCCAAGTATTCTCCTCAAATAAGCTCTTGAGCTTTGCTATAATGTCAAAGGCTTACGAGCTTCTATGTTGGTGCCTATGCTCCAACATCATAGTAGTAAGTATGATGCTACGAGCAATCACCATCTCTATGTTTGATCCATGCTTAATGAGCTTCAGCTTGAACCGGAGGAGGCTCATCTAAAAGAGCTTTCTCTATCATATAGAGAATTTTCTCATGTTGGAGGACTATCCTCAAATTCATTTCCCAGATCAATGAAGTTTGTGCCATTAAAGGCATTATTTTCATTAAAGATCGATCGTATTGATTTACTGCTAGTCATACTCGTGTAATCTAACCGGATAGAAAAGTGTATAATTTGGTTAATTAAATTGGATAAAACTAAACAAAGCATAAATTAAAGATGTAAAACCTATGTTTCCTCCTACTATTTTCTTTAGGTTTTATAACCTTCAATATAGTACTCAAGAAAACTTTTCGATGCGTTTTCCTAGTAGGTTAGGATCTCATCCTCTAACATGCATTAGCCTTGATTTATCTCAACAAGCCATAGATGAAGGATTAGGTAGGTAACTCCTTACCAATTACATCTAATGTAATTTCTAATTCCATTGGTATGATAACTCTTTATCTTTATCATATTTTATATGAATACCAATCCTTGCTTACAAGTTTATTGGATCTTGAGTTATCTCAACAAACCCAACAACTCATTTAAGTAAGACCTAATGTTTGGGGTCATCGCATGGCTCATGATTTGTTTCTCTCGAGAAAGAAGTGACCTTGATCTATCTCAACAAGCCAACAACGACCAAAAGAGTTCCCACCTCATAACATTGGAAAGCAATTAACTTAATATTTTATTTTAAGGATTTAATAAGGTTAGTCTTATCCTAGCAAGCATACTAAAAAATAATCACATTATTCTTAATCAAGCATACTAACATTAATCTCATGACATTTATACATCTCATGCATGAATCAACGACTAGTGAATGATAATAGATTTCTAGTATTGGCCCCTTCAAGCCATAAAGAGACTAAAAGGTCAATTCCGAGGTGAAAAATATTAAAATTCTTCATGAATGTCTCTATTCCTTGGTGTCTTCTCCTTGTATCTATTCTAATTCCTATCTTTTACTTTTACATTTATTTGAAATAAGAAACCTCGAGTTACATTCGCGAGGAGTAAGATGAGAAGAGAAATACAATAGAGTAATATAGAATGCGGGACACGCAGGTCCTATTTATCAAAAAATAACAAGCATTCATTCATACACTAAGTCGACTTATCCATACTATTCACCCATGCTTTAATTATATTGATACATGGCATACTAATGAAACAATTTCATTCATAAAAACGTTTATAAATCTATA